TATATATATATATATATATATATATATATATATATATATTATTACAAGTTTGTAACACTTCTTCACTGTTTGGAATGAAATGACATTCTAAAGTTGAAAAAAGAACTCACTTTTTTTTTTTGTTGACTTTGAAGAATGTTTTTATCATTCAAGCAGTGAGATTAGGGGTGAGCAAAATTTTTTGAACCACTCAAAAATCCAAAAAATTAGGTAACATTAAGCTCATCAAACAGGTAATTACGAACTATTAGATAGTCGAATTTGAAATTTTGGTTTACAATGTATTAAGATGGTCAGTTTCGATTTTTGAAATTGGGATCCGTGAAACCTGAAATTGACCTAGTAATATAAATGGTTATAGAAAAACTTAAGTATAAAAGTGTTAGTTTCCTTTTTTAATTCATGTTCACAACCAAACCTTAGTCCACTACTCTCTCCCTTTCATCAGTTTTGTTCTCCCATTACTTCATCTTCATATGCTGAAGGTCTTACAATGGCATATAAGCACTCAACATTCATCTTCGTGACCTGTTTTATCTTTCTCCCTTCCTTTCATGTCATGGAAGTTCATGGTTTTTTTTTTCATCTTTCCTTCCCTCTCTCTTCTGGGTTTTATGCTCCTTTTCCACTCTTTAATTCCAATATTGATTCTTGTTTCCCTTTTCTCCTCGATATGCATCGAATTTCAAATTCACCCATCTTCTGATTCCCTTTTCATCTTGGTTTGAGGTTTTTTTTTTTTTTTACCTTAATAAACAAGCTAACAAATGTATCTACTAACATAACACTTTTTTTTTTAATGTATTGTACCCACAAAGGATGTTCCTTTCTTGTTTTACTCCATAGATCCCAAGGAATTAGTTGTTCATTCACAACTGATGGCCCAAATTTAAGCCCAAACCATTTCAACCCACCCAATCCAATCCGTGACTCATCAACCTGAGACCCATTCAACTAGATGAACAGTGCAGTCCAAAATGAGTCGAAAATTTTTGGATGCAATTTTGTTCAAATTGGACTTTTTAGACCTAAACTCTCTCGAATCCACCCGATGATCAGGCTTAAGTGAGATTAATTTTTCTGAAACCAAAGATTTCTCACAAGTGACATTGTAACTTGATTATTTGTTCTTGTTTGAGACAATAGTCCACACTTATATAATAAGAAATGTTAACACTAGCACACTTTGTGTTTTATTAAAATTTATTAAAGATCATAATTTCTTTTTGCCACACCTCTTATATAATAAATCTCTCCTAACTTCGTAGTTTTTAATAAATTTTAACTAATAAACCAATATGTATCAAAAATGTATATTACAAAATGTATTGCTAGCGTTCCTTATATATAATATATAGTATAGCCAAAATCAACTAATGTTAGTTTCATAATTTTATATTAAAAATTTTCCATACCTTAAATTAAGTTGAACTTTTCTTGGTAGTGGGCATTACCAAGAAAATGGCAGCATTGACGCAGTAAACAAACAGCTGTACACGCATATGAAATTTACGTAATCTGTTAGTCATGATGAAACCATTTTTCTCCCTTGAGCTACTACTACACTATAAGGCTGGCCTGAGAGTGTTCTTTGGAGCACTAATCCAAGGAGTACCTGCAATGGCAAATCTCCACAATGCGTTGACATGCTCTGGCAAAGCATTTTGGATACCAACACGTGGACCTACCAATATGTTTTCCGGCTCTGGACCATCTAAGAGTTCCAAACCACCTGCATCACACACACTTTTCACTCTTGAAAACCATCGATCATTTGTCAATTTTACACCTGGAACACTAGAATTATAAGCTTACCAGGTGTATAGAGAGGATGGTTGGACCATTCTGTCGAAAGACCTAGTGCCTGACCAACCTAAGATTTGGTAGAACACTCAGATTAATCTATTTCGAAAGCAAGGTCATATTCTAGATATGCAGGGTCAATTGAGAACCAAAATTTATCGTCTCCACCAACATTCTAGGTCCTCAAGAAAAAGCAAGAAAATGATCAAAAAAGAGGAAGAAAAATAAATGATGGAACCTGTTTCCTCCTAGCCTTTCTAGCAAGAACCTCACTTACCATTTTGATCATATGGTACACAGTAATTCTGTTATATACCAGAATGCAATGCAAATAGAAATTACGTTTCACAAATGATGCAACCGCTTTAATCCACCAAGTGAAACTTCTATAAACTTAAAGAAAGCTAAGCACAATCTTTGAAAATTTAAAGATGATGAACCTATTTCAGAAACAGCCAAAGTATAAAACTTCAAAAAGAGGACAACAAATTATTTTACAGATCACAAGCATGTAAAATCATATACCATTGGATTATGCGACGAACAATTTACAAATCTAAGACAATGTGATCCAAATATCTACGGGCAAGAAAGAAGGCACGTCTGTAATTGCATCTAATTTGTATTTTACGAACAAAACAACAGGTAATATTGACTAGTTGATGGTAATTGGTAAAGCACTAGAATTAAGATATCTTTGACTTGACAAGTTAAATTGCAGTGCAAAATGTTAAGAACATTTTTCCCAAAGCATCTCAAACAGATGAAAGGAGGGAGGGAAAGGAACCAACCTTTCCGGGACCGGTAAGAAGAATAGGTTTCTCAGTTTTCAGACCTCGGCGCTGTTGAATGACATCCAATCCTGCAATATTTTCCAATATTATGAAATAAATCTATAAATAATTTTATGCAAGGTTTCCTTGTAATGAATACTTGTAAAGTGATTGTAGTCTTTCTGCAAGAGTTATTTGAACCGTTAATCTGTTACTGATCCAATAATGTAAAAAGAATGATGTTACTGCAAGTTGTAACAATGCTGAACTTATACTGAAAGCCTCACCTTCCGAATTGGATCAACAATAAGAAGGTTGACATACATTTTATTCACACACTTCTATGAACAGCCAGTACATGACAATCAAATTGTCTTCACTTTGTAGTTTGTACACACTACACAGTTGAAATAAGCTACAATTTACAAATAAGCTTGTGATGGTTCATTCTTTGGCACGCAACAAGACCATTACTTTATCATCTCTCAAAGAGAATTCGAATAATAATGTATTCATTGTAAGAAGTCACTTGAATGACCCAGAATATCTAATAATCATTTATCCCTTTATTCATCCATAAACCGAAACAATACACAAAAAACATCTAGACACAACAAGTAACAAAATAGTTTATTTATTTCACAGTAACTATACACGAACAATATTTAGTATGAAGCATTACCTCTAACGGGTGCACAAGACCGTATCAAAACACCAGCTCCAGCTCCTTCCTTGTCTGCAACAACATTTAGCATCGTGTGGAGACCGTAGCAAAGATAAACATAGGCATGCCCACCCGGTCCAAACTTTTAAATAGGTACAAACACAAACCAATGTTATTTTACTCTAGATAATAACTTAAGGGTATAATAGTCCAATAAATATGGAGAGAAAAATAATAATTAAAAGAGGATTTTTTTATAAATTAGTATTAGTATTTATATTTATACATTTAGTATAGATAACTCTTTATATATTAGCATAAAAATATAGATAATAATTAAAGGATATAATGGTTTGTAATTAAAAATAATTATGCTTTATAAGTTAGTATAAATAGTGTAAATAATATAGAAATATAGATATTAGCTAAATGGTGTAATGTTACAATAAATGTGGAGAAAAAACTAGTTATTAAAAGAAGGTCCCATTATATGTTAGGATTGAAGAATAGTATAGATTATTTTTAGGGAGAATAGAGGTAGTATCTTACAACAGGGGCAGTTCTTGAAGTAACGCCAAAACGACCGTGAGAAGCTGAGTCGTTTGGTCTGTACGCTTCAACCTGTGCCATTGATTCCTCGTTAAATCACATCACAAAAGCGAAAACAATGCAGCTGCAGGTGTCGTAATGGGAATACCTCGGTGATTTGAAGAACGACGTCGTCTCGGCGAAGAAACTTTCCGAGCAAACGTGGAGCGAGGTCCAGAGCGTCGATTTGAAAGAAATGTTGAGGCAAAGTTTTCATTTTTGGCGAAGGAATGTCGGGTGGCGGCTGTGGTGGTGATGGGTTGGGTTTGGGCCTCAGCGGCTTGGCGAGTCGCTTGAACCGGTGCTTCCGGTTGATTGGAGTGCCGCGGAAACGGAAGGAGGCGAAAACGTCGTCGTTGGATTGGGGAGTTGGCTCGCCTTGCAAATTGCAATGCCGTTTTCCCATGTCTCATACTTGCATTCGCAATTCCTTCCTTTTTCTCTACCAAACCCCGCCTCTAGTTTCTACTTTCTACTCATACTCTTCTCCCTAATTTTGTAACCTTTTTTTTTTTTTTTTTTAACTTTTAAAATAATTTTTTTTTATGTATCTATAATCTATAATATATAAAGTGAGAAAAGTGTAAATTGGTATACATATTTTCTTAAAAGATTTTATCTTTAAATAATAAAAATAATATTTAAATTAACTATTTTTATAAATTTAAAATTTAAATTTAAAAATCTTAAGATTTGAAGATTAAACATAATATTAATTCATTTAATAAATATTAATAATTTTTAAGCATTTTTATTAAATAAAATATCAAGAAATGAAGTATCTCAACTTAACTAGTTAGTATTAAAAGTAAGTCATATTTTATCAAATTTTATAAAATAAAAAAATTAATTTCATGTTTATGATTTGAAAGATTATAATAGAGAATTAGAGATTGACTTGTCTTCTTTGTTTTATATATTCAAATTATATGTATTATGTTGTGATGTTATTTTAAAAATGTATAACTCTTTTGTCACTAAATCAACTTATAGATATTTAGTTATGATTTTATGTCCAAGTTAAATATTGAAATTTGGTCCTTAACTAAAAAAGTACATTTGTTGAACCAAATGTTCTTCTCACCTTTAGTGTGTCATTTGTGATTTAAATGTGGAATAATTTTTCTTTCTTTTAACCGATTTCTGACTTTTAAGAATTTGTTTAATGATTAAAATTTAATGAGAGTTTTCACTTTAGTGTAAGAAGTGTCTTAAGTAATTCAAAAGATACTTTTTGGGTGAAGGTTATGATGATAGATGAAATCATGTTTTTCATGATGAAAAACTAATTTAATAGCATTGGATATACAATTTTTAAATAAATTATAAGACTTGTTTTTATTGGCTTCAATCACTTCATTTCTAAATGTATTTTATTTTTTTCATCATTATCGTTCTAAAAGGTGGTGTTTCTCGTCCCTCCATCTATTTATTCACTCTCTTGATTTTAATAATTATGATTTAACCATCAAAAGTCTAAAAATCAAAACGCAAGAATGAGAGACCTATATATAAGTAGCCATGAACATTTGAATTGAGAAATCAAGATCGAATCAAATATAAACAAAATTAATTAAAAAATGATAAAAAAATGGTTCCATGAGAGAAATGCAACACCGCACTTCTTTACAATTTAAGTAAAAATAAATAAATTCAATCTATTTTTTAGTAACCAAATGTTGCCATAAATCTACAAAGGTAGTATTTGGACTCAAAGATAACCCCTTAATCCTCTAACAATGTGACATCACTTATTGTCGCACTTGTACTCATAGAAGTCTACATGTGATCATTGCTTTTGTATTTAAGAAGAACCTTGTGATACTCTCATGATGAAACAATATTTCTTTGTTATGTTTATGCTTGCAAGTAACCTATACGTCTCTATTAGTATGAGACTTTTTGAGTAATGACCAAAAGTGAATTAAAAAAAATAAGTTTAAATTTAATAATATCATACCAATTTGGAAGCATGTGCCTATGAATCCTTGTGCACAATACACTTTAATAGTCATACAAAAATATCTTTGATTTTTTTTAATGATTTATTTCGTCATTAAACCTAGCTTTTATTTAGGTTATTTTGTGTTAATGGTTGCATTATATTTAATTGGCCATACTTAAATTTTTACATTCTCTTTCAACAAACATTTATCTTCCTTTCTTTAATATAGGGAAGGTATAAGACAAAAAAATTGTCTAATTCATCAATATAATACTAAAAAATTATGAATTTTAATATTATTCTTGAGTATTACATCTTTATTGAATTTAAAGTTTAATAATAAATTTTTTTCTAGTGACCATTGTAAATAGGTCGTTTCACTTCCTAACAAAATTTTAAAGTATTTTTACAAGTTTAGTTGCATCAGATTGATTATAAGATTAATTTTCAATTTGGAGTCTAGACATATTTAAATTTATTTATCCTTTCTTAAAGATAATTTGATGGGCTCCTTTCTTTCATGGTGTATTCTTTGGCTTCCAAGGAGGAGCTCCCTCTTTAGTCCCAAAAAAGTCATGTCACCTCTAAGTCAAGAGTCCCAAAAAAGTCATGTCGTCGACAGCAGGGTTCGAACCTGCGCGGGCGAAGCCCAACAGATTTCAAGTCTGTCTCCTTAACCACTCGGACATATCGACGCTTGTTGATAAAATTAGAATATAGTGTTTTTTATTTACTAAACAATGCATATTTCCACCTGCTTCAAACTATACCAGAAACACCTATAATTATAATATACATATATATATATAGATATATATATATATAAAATAAAATTAATTATTATAAATTTCAGTCAAATAACATAAAAATTATCTTGCATACGGTTTGATTCAAAATTTAGTGTTTATAGCCCATGTTGATGAGAAAATCAAATCTTGATATTTCAATACTATTACGTATGCATATGTAATATTGACCATTGATTTTTATATTAACAACTAAGATTATTCACTTTATCCTTTGAAACGACCAAATCTAACAACAATAATTAGCATGGATGAACTACTCATAATAATTACATTTGGCTTCAATTTCAAATACAAAACATTAATTCTCAGAAATACAAAATACATCTTAAATTGGCCTGGTTGTATGATTTTCAATTAACTCAGTTCAGAATTTTTTAAAGGTTGTTTAAAGAATATTATAATATTTGGTTTAAAGATTTTTTTCTTCTGAATTTGTCGTTTAAAATGCAATATTTCATGTTTTAGTAAAATAATAAAAGAATATGAGTGGTCATGAGTATAATATAAGACGATATCAACATTCACTATCTCACTCTTTCTCGCTTATTACAAAACGCATCACACCTGCCCCCACTGTCACATGATATATATATTAATGTGTGGATTTCATGGAATAGTCTCAGCTTGGGAACCAAAACAACCAAATCTTACGGCTCTCGAGAAGCAATTGGGTTCGGTAAGATTAGTTAGCCAAAGCCACTATTTTGGAAACAAGGGAGTTTGCTGTTAAAACGTAATGAAAATTTGAAATCGCCTTTTGAAATGACAAGGACCGATAGTTTAATGAATATGTAACATAGCTACTAATGAAAATGGAGGAGTTAGGAGAACTATGAATCATCATCTCTGTTCTCGTTTATATTTCTGATTTTGTGCCATGAATTTACTGCAGAATTAAGTTAATAATGCTTGTTTATGTACTACCATGCATGATTTCACTGTATTACATTATGCGCGGGACATTATGAAGCAACTATTGTTGCACTTCATAGAACTTTGCTTATCTTATAGTATGTTTTATAAAAGTATGTAGTTCCAGTCACTTTTATGTTTTCTTCCTTTCTAAACTCTAGAGATAAAAAGATTATCAAGAGCTTGGTGCTATAGCTGTCTCAGCTAATAAAGTGCTTTCTGGGCAAAGATCGGAGATCAAATTTCACTCTCATCACTCTCCCTCCCCTCGTTTAATGTGCATGTTTTTATTGGTTGAAATATAAACGGTTTCCATATCAGCTACCTTAGAAAAAATATTATCAGTTAATGTAAGATTTTTTTCCATTGTATTTTATTTTTAAGACAAAACTATGCTATTTACCTACTGTTCTTAATTTGTCCTCAGTATTGGACATTATTTTTGAAGAAAAAAAACTTCCCACTTGAGCACTCAGTTAGGAAATATGTGATGGAAATGGCGTTGATGATCTCCTCCTAGCTTCATCTTCTTTGTCCAATCTTCTCATGAGGTTAAGACTTGAATACAGAAGCAAGGAACCAAGCTTCAAAGGAGAAGCAACCAAGGAGGTTCAGTTATTTCTTGAAGAAGAAGAAAAGTTAGGAAACCAAGACACAAAAGAAGGATTCCTTTATGAAGTTTCTTGGGTTCGAACCCTCACAAGTCAATATTTAAGTCCCAAAATAAATTATAAGACTAATTTTTCCCCACAATACAAAGGCTAAATAAAAATATAAAATAAAATCCTAATTCTAATCTACTCCAAAATACAAGGGCAAAATAAGAAAGGAAAGCAACGAACTAAGTAGATGACCCAAAATTTACACATGATAATCATGACTTTTGGTGTGGTATGTTCTCCATCTTCCTCTACTCTCCTAACTATGAACCTTGTGATATGCCCTATGTAATGTCTCAATGATGGTCCTCCCTCATATTTTATGTAAAAATCAAACTAAAATTATATTTAATTAGTTTAGGACATGTTATCAACTAAGTCAAACTCATTAAATATTCATAATTATTATTTAACAACCACATATAAATTATATTAAATTTGATTAAAAATTATGATTCAAAGAAGAGAAAATATAATAATCTTACTCTATTATAGTAAGATTTTTTCGATTAGATAATACTGATAATTTATAATAAGAAAAAAAAGAAGAAAAAAATAGAGACTATCACTTACAAAATGTTAATTTTAGTTAAATTATAATTTTATGTTCAGTTTTATACCACAAATCAACATTTAAAATCAAATTCAATAAAACATTCAATTGTCCAAACCATGAGCTTGAAAAAAAAAATAAAAATAAAATAAATCATTTGATTAGATCACCCCTGAAAAAAAAAACTTTTTAATTCAAAAGGTATTTAATGTATTCATAATTTTATTTCGAATGCTATAGATTGATGTAAGCATAAAGTTAATTAATCAAACAATAAAATCCTGAATCCAAATCTTATTATTAAATAGCATTTGTTCCAAGTATAATGATTATTAAAAAATATCATATATAATACCATAAATAAAAATATTTATTTAAAATATGCCTCATTATAATTTAACATCCTTAAAATATCTCTTTATGAAATAAAAAATTATAAATTTAATTACCTTTTTCATCTATATAATTTCATAATTTTTAATTTTTAATTTTCTATAATTATTTTCTTTTTTATTTTAGCTTCTATATATTATTTTTTTCTTTTGAATGATATAATTACATAAATTTTATTTTGTAATCCTTATAATTGATTGCATAAAATTTTTATTTTAGTCCTGTTAATTACGTAAAACTTTTTTAATGTCTATAAAAACAATAATATAAGATAAAATTTATACAAAATCTAAAATAAAATGCTTCTAGCTATAAAAATTAAGATAAAATTTATGAAACCATAGATATGAAAGACATAATTAAGATTATATTTCAACAAAAACTATTCTCTATATACAATATGAGATATTTTACTTCATATAAAAAAAATTACTCAAAAACTTAAAAGTAGATAATCTAAGATTGCAGGTAGAGGCAGAGGAAAACCCTTGGGGGCCTTGTGAAGTGGAAAAAGTGTCGAAACTTGGCTCTAAAGCTGCAATCCCTAACCCTCTTCTAGACCCTTCCTTTGCGACACAACACTGCCTTACATTCTAGACCTTTCCACATTCCCCCCACTCAACACATATATAATAACAACCCTTGATAATTCTCGAACCACCCAAATTCCAATTAACTCTCATTTCATTTCACTCGCATTGCAATTTGCAATGGCTCGTTACGGCGAGGGCGACAAGCGTTGGATCGTGGAGGACCGGGCCGACGGCACGAACGTCCACAACTGGCATTGGGCCGAGACCAACTGCCTGGAGTGGTCCAAGGCCCTTTTCACCACGCTCCTCTCCAACCTCACCCTCCTCGACGGCGAGGGCAACCTCTTCCTCAAAACGACGTCGCTCCGCTCCCTCGACGGCGAGGCCTACGTCAACGTCCGCAAGGGCAAAATCATCCCCGGCTACGAGATCAGCCTCTCGCTCGCGTGGCAGGGCGAGGCCAAAGACTCCCAAGGCGCCTCCCTCCTCAAGGTCGACGGCACCGTCGATATTCCCTACATCTCCGACGAGAACGCCGACGAGGATCCCGAGGTCAAGGTCACCGTCAACGACGATGGACCCCTCGGGAAGAGAATCAAGGATGCTATGCTCTCCAAGGGGAAACCCTTGATTTTGGACAAGGTTAGGGTTTGGGTCCAGACTATGGCCAGAGGCGGTCCCCTCAAAGACGAATTGGACACCAAGAAGGTTGCGCCGGTGCCCTCACCGTCGCCTTCGCCTTCGCCTTCGCAGGCGCCGACGGCTCCGGCGACCAAGGCGGCGCCGAAGAAGGAGGCGAAGAAGGAGGAGAAGAAGGGGAGGAAGAGTATTAGCATGACGGAGAAGTTTAATTGCAGGGCGAGGGATTTGTTTGAGATTTTGATGGATGAGAATAGGTGGAAGGGTTTTACGCAGAGCAATGCGAGGATTAGTAAGGAGGTTGGTGGTGAGTTTAGCATTTTTGATGGGTCGGTTACTGGAACTAATTTGGAGTTGCAGGAGGGTAAGTTAATTGTGCAGAGGTGGAGGTTTGGAAGCTGGAACGATGGTGTTCAGTCCACGGTATGTGTTCAATTCAATGGTTTCTATGTGTTTGTGTCTGTAAGATCATATTTTTGAATGGTTGTCTGTGTTTGTAGGTGAGGCTTGTCTTTGAGGAGCCTGAAGCTGGTGTTACCGTTGTCAAGCTGACTCATACTGATGTGCCTGAAGAGGATAGGTGAGTTTTTGGTTTTGTGCAATTTTTTATTTTGTTTTGATTTGGTTTGGTTTGGTTTGCTGAGGTGGATTGGTTTGTTGTTGTGCAGGTATGGGAATGCTACTGTGGTGGAGAACACGGAAAGGGGTTGGCGGGATCTTATTTTCCAGAGGATACGTGCGGTTTTTGGTTTTGGAATTTGAGGTTTTTGTGATTGTATTTCCTGCGTTGTAGAATTCGTGGATTTTGATATTTTTTAGTAAGGAAAGATTAATGGATTATTGATTGACATTGGATGTTGTGGGCTGCAATGCTTTCTGCTTCTGCATCTTCTCTTATAGTACGTGTTTGTGATAGGTGTTATAATCGTTACTTGGTCCTGTTGTCATGCAATGAATAAGTTGAAATTTGCGAAGTTACCTTGCTTTTAAACTACACACTACAGAATTAGAGGGAGTTATTTTATTATGGGTGTTAAAATTACTCAGCTACATATTTTGTGGTGTCTATTCTTCATATAACTTGTTCATAAAATGATAAGGACTAACTAAGATTCTTGAATCCGTGATTTGAGGCGAAGGGATTGTTATCCCGTTTGAAGTCTGCTTGAAATGATTGTCTGGATCAATTTAAGAATAGGATATAGTGCCATTTTTTGGCGGATGATTTTCATATACGTAGTCATGATTCTATGTAGGCCAAAGAAAATTGATTATTTAGCCATGCTTCTGTGCCATTATGGTGGTCGTTCTGTTTTCTTGTTGGCATTTTGTTTGTTCCCCAATTGAGGCATTTCAGTGGCTTGTTTAGCTTTCGATAAAAGGGGGCAGCTTGGCATTTGGATATACATTGGGACTTCAGAATTTTCCAGGGACCATTTAGTGTGTAACCTTAAAGTGAATTGTATTTGGGCGCTTAAAATACATGATGTCTTATTCCGAGGTTTTGTCGTCGGATGGTGATGAATGCAGTGGAAGCAGACATTGGATTGTGTGGCTTTGTGCCTGGCCCTTATCTGTCAACTGCAAAAGCAGAGCATTTAAATCTTATGCTCTAATCTTAGAGCATTTTCAGTGAGTTATTTATAAACAATTTCCTGTGTCACATCATTGTCACATTAGTTTTGGTTTACTTTATTAATTGCTTAAATTTTAGTAAAGTTGTTTCTACATTTAATTTTATTAAAATTTAAGTAATTTTACTAAAATTTAAGTAACTCGTGAATTAGAGTTGATGTGACAATGATGTAGCTCAAGGGATGTTCTTGCATAGAATTGTTTAGGGGCTTTTAAGTGCAGGAATAACGGTGCCTGCCTCAGCTTGTTTGTTTGTTTTTGCCTTGCTGGTTGCTGCTGACTGAATGCATTCCTATTTCAATATCAAACTCGTTGCCACTTATTCGGTCTTCCTTACTTTGGGTTTGGGTTTGGTTTTGTGGTCATCTGTTTTCGTTTTCGTTTCTTCTATTCACCAATACCAAGTTATGCAGGTTTTGAATAATGAATCTGAACTTATATGCTGTTTGGAAGGGAGGATAAAAATTAAAAATAGAGCGGTTGAAAATAACTGAAAGAGAAATAGGGTGAATTTTTCTGTTTGATTTGAGAGAAATACTAATAGAAGGTAAATTGAAGTGAAATAATATTGTCAAAGTTATTTAGTTTAGTTTAGATGAAAGGAGAATAAACTTTTTTATAATATGGTGGAAATTCTTATTATGTCCTTATGTAACATATTAACGTGATTATATGTAATTGATTAATACGAATGCAGCATGTAAAGTTTATAATTTAATAGTTAATGTCAAATAATTAACCAATTACGTTAGTGTTGTCGGGGATAGCAAGATATATATCTATTTATGACGGCAATGTTTTTTATTTATTAAAAAATAAAAGCTATAATATCCACGATGCAAATGAAAAGATACATGAATACGTAATTGAATTAAAATGAGATAATAAAATTAAAATAAAGTCAAATTCAATGAAATGAAATGCTAGCTGATTAAATCAAATTATAATCAATTATTTACAAGTGATAATTATTTATAATGAACATGTGATTGATTAAAACTTAAAAGGAAATTATAATCAAAACGAATGAAGTTTAAATAAACTAAAATAAACATCTAATCTGTTAAAATAAGCACCATATCAATTAAAGCAATTTTGATGAGTAAATATCAATGCAACGTGTATGATCGATTATCTCCACTGCTAATAGAATAAATAAATAAATAAAAAGATATACAATTGATTAATTAGACGTATGCAATCGATTAAGAAAATTTTCTACACATTGTAAAATGCATATAATTGATTAGGAAAAGGTTTTAATCAATTAAAATTAATTATAATTAATTAATATTCAGAATATATCAATAATAGCACTGGTTATTATAAATGGTAGTGTCTATTTAAGATGTTTTAAATTCGAATTTTGACTATATTAAAAGGATAATATCTATATTATGTGGAGTCGGTATCAATATCATAGTTATTTTAAAAAATATATATATATTGTATGAACTATTTTTAAAACTTGATCGTTATTATTCACACAATTTCACTAACATAAGTAGTGTGTTAAAGATTATTGGGCAAAACATTTAACTCAATTTAAGTATTGTAACAATATTTAATTATTTTAAATCACCACTATCAAAATTATTTTTATCTTTCAAAAATTATGTCGTTAATTTATCTCAAGTAATGATTTAAATGTTGGGTACAGCTGCCAAGCCACTTTCGGTGGCTTTTTTAGTGTTTATAGCCCATGTTGATGAGAAAATCAAATCTTGATATTTCAATACTATTACGTATGCATATGTAATATTGACCATTGATTTTTATATTAACAACTAAGATTATTCACTTTATCCTTTGAAACGACCAAATCTAACAACAATAATTAGCATGGATGAACTACTCATAATAATTACATTTAACTTCAATTTCAAATACAAAACATTAATTCTCAGAAATACAAAATACATCTTAAATTGGCCTGGTTGTATGATTTTCAATTAACTCAGTTCAGAATTTTTTAAAGGTTGTTTAAAGAATATTATAATATTTGGTTTAAAGATTTTTTTCTTCTGAATTTGTCGTTTAAAATGCAATATTTCATGTTTTAGTAAAATAATAAAAGAATATGAGTGGTCATGAGTATAATATAAGACGATATCAACATTCACTATCTCACTCTTTCTCGCTTATTACAAAACGCATCACACCTGCCCCCACTGTCACATGATATATATATTAATGTGTGGATTTCATGGAATAGTCTCAGCTTGGGAACCAAAACAACCAAATCTTACGGCTCTCGAGAAGCAATTGGGTTCGGTAAGATTAGTTAGCCAAAGCCACTATTTTGGAAACAAGGGAGTTTGCTGTTAAAACGTAATGAAAATTTGAAATCGCCTTTTGAAATGACAAGGACCGATAGTTTAATGAATATGTAACATAGCTACTAATGAAAATGGAGGAGTTAGGAGAACTATGAATCATCATCTCTGTTCTCGTTTATATTTCTGATTTTGTGCCATGAATTTACTGCAGAATTAAGTTAATAATGCTTGTTTATGTACTACCATGCATGATTTCACTGTATTACATTATGCGCGGGACATTATGAAGCAACTATTGTTGCACTTCATAGAACTTTGCTTATCTTATAGTATGTTTTATAAAAGTATGTAGTTCCAGTCACTTTTATGTTTTCTTCCTTTCTAAACTCTAGAGATAAAAAGATTATCAAGAGCTTGGTGCTATAGCTGTCTCAGCTAATAAAGTGCTTTCTGGGCAAAGATCGGAGATCAAATTTCACTCTCATCACTCTCCCTCCCCTCGTTTAATGTGCATGTTTTTATTGGTTGAAATATAAACGGTTTCCATATCAGCTACCTTAGAAAAAATATTATCAGTTAATGTAAGATTTTTTTCCATTGTATTTTATTTTTAAGACAAAACTATGCTATTTACCTACTGTTCTTAATTTGTCCTCAGTATTGGACATTATTTTTGAAGAAAAAAAACTTCCCACTTGAGCACTCAGTTAGGAAATATGTGATGGAAATGGCGTTGATGATCTCCTCCTAGCTTCATCTTCTTTGTCCAATCTTCTCATGAGGTTAAGACTTGAATACAGAAGCAAGGAACCAAGCTTCAAAGGAGAAGCAACCAAGGAGGTTCAGTTATTTCTTGAAGAAGAAGAAAAGTTAGGAAACCAAGACACAAAAGAAGGATTCCTTTATGAAGTTTCTTAGAAGGGAGAGTGGTTTCTCCACGGTTTTGAGACCTTTGAGAGAGATAGAAATTCTAAAAATTCAATCTCATATATGTCAAAAGTGATTACAAAAGTTAAGGAAAAGTTTATATAGAGTAGGGAAGCTTGTGGAGCAAGCTAGGCTAACTATGGTTCAAGAAAATTATGGTTGGCTTAACTTGACTGTCCACCATGATTTGGGAGGCTTGTGTAGCAAGCTTCTAACTTAATGGCTTGGGAAGCAAGCTAAGTTAGAAGCTTGTAGCACAAGCTTCCCAAGTGTGCCATGCAAGCTAATGAATCCGGCCAAGAGAGGGATGGGCGGCCAAGGCTCCAAAATTTATATTTGATCCAATCCAAATAATTTGAATTGATTTAGTTAGGTTCATCAAATGATGATGAGACCTAGCTAAATCAATTTCTTTGAAAATATGGAGCAAAACAAGCTCAATATGTAAAATTTGACTTAGGCCCAACTCTGGTCTATTTACTAGTTGCACCGACACACTTTACTATTTGTCACTCTACTTCAATTATTAAAAAATACAAAAATGAATATCCCTAATCTCAAGGTTAAATGAAGTAAAAGTCTTCAAGTAGCCTACCATAAATTCTTTATAGAATGTCACATATCAAAGGAAAGAAAGTGCTTCATAAATACAAAGGCAAAATAAACCTATACAAGAATTACTATATACAAAAGATATGAAAGGTCCTCAAATTTAACCTATTCTTCTTGGGTTCTTTAATGTATCACCTCTTGGTGTTCTTGACCTGGGCATGATTCCATCAATATGCCTCTCTACTCAGCCTAAAAAGTAGGATGTTTATTTTGTGCTTCTTCACGAGCATTACTGAAAGAGTCATAACCATAAATAATACAGATCTTGCAGTTATGATTGAAATTAGGCATGCTGATTTGACCCTCATTAGTCGCTACAATAGTTGGACAACAATTGGAATGACTAAAAAAAAAAAATTGGTGCAAGTGTGTGAGATGTCTGCAGCAATTGCAACACAAATACTCTCTACTGAAGAACAATCTTCAATACTTAGGTAAGTGTAA